AAGTTCACAGTGAAGTATTCTTCCTTCTCCTTTTCTACAACTGCCAAGTCTGGTCTTTTGGCTTATATTTTAGGAAGTGTGACTGAAAAACCCCATAATAATTTTAAATTCTTATTTTCTGCGGGTTTTTTAGCCCCATTGTGGTAATGCATCTCTCTTGTGGGTAGTCTTCTGGCAGAATGCTCAGTGCACCATGTTGACAACTTTACATGACGTACCTTATAATCCTCTGCCGGCAGTTTACTCTTTGTCTTTTTCTATTCATTTTAGTGTCTCTTGCTGTTGTCTATCTTGTTACTGACTCTCAGCAGTAGTATATTTTTCAATTAGTTTTGAAGCCTGATTCAAGATCCATTCAGTTCCTCCTCAATCTTTTATGTAATTTGCTATAAGTTCCTATTCCTGTTCCACAGCAACATATCCTCCACTGCTCAGAAATTGGGTCTCTTACTGCAGCAATTAGGATTACGATGTAGCATATGGATTGCAGTCTCACTCTAGCATGCACTGTATTTACATTTTACAGACAGTCCCAGGGCTGGATTACTCACAAACTAAATAGATGAAGCAGAAAAAAAAAAAACAGGAGAAAGTAGCATTCAATTTTAAAGACAACATGAAGCGCAAAGAAGGTGATTTGCCAAAAACCACACAAGAGCTGTAGAGCAGAGCCAGAAAATGCATCTGTGACATCAAAGCTCCAGTCGAGAACAAAATCTACTTAACTCTTTTAAAAGTGCTTGCCATTTGCTCTCAACCGTCTCTATAAAGTGTTTTGCAACATTCTGTTGGAAGGAGCTATATGAGAATAAATTGTGGTACAGTACGTAGTCAACACAGAAACTACTACTCTTCTGATAATTGCAAACTGAAGTTTTGTTGTTTTGGTTTTGGTTTTGTTTTTTATACCCTGGCTACAGAGCAAATTCCTTGCTTTTGTAAGAGGGAGGCATTAGCAATCTTGAGTTTTATTGCTTGCTCGTTAGATTAACAGAGGTATCAGTGTTGTGATATCAGTTCACCACATGTCCCACACCACCTAAATTCCTTTCATTGTACATTGGAGATCTGTAATATTTAACACAGAAGTCATTCTCCAGTTTCTTGCATTTAGCGCAGGTGAAATGAAAATGCACAGGGTTGCCAGAATTGATCTTCCCAGGAAAATGTAAAAATGCCTTTAAAATCATTCTGAAGCTGAAAGATAAACAGGAACAGCTGCTAAACGTCCTTCAAGGCAGCCCAGGACTCATTTCAGTTACCCTACACGGCGCACCTCAGGTGCAGCACAGCATTTTCAAGTTTTATATCTATCAAATATAAGCCCAACACAAAGTGGTGTTTCCTCCCGCTTGTTATTGCCTCAGCGTGTCTGAGAGTTTTTTTTTCCTAATTCCTTTTCTCCTTTTATTTTTTTTATTCACATCCTACTGCATTAGAGGAAATGCAATATATGTCTACTTCAGCACCCGTTGTCTGGGTTAAAGTAATACTGCGCTATGTATATGTTTCTGCTTTCTTGTCTTTTAAGCGTGTTCTGTAGCTGACCTTCCTCTGAGTCAAACTGCTGTGCTGTCCACTCTTCAAGGGCTGAGAAACCTTGCGTAATCACTTCAATATCTTCTGTAGCCTTTGAAATAACACCTTCATTTAAAAAATAGTAATGAATACTAAATATATATCTGCACTTTCATCGGTGCCCTGGGCTATTTGCAGACAGCAACACAGAAGAGATTTCCACTAAAAAGAGGTACAAAATGATGCAACACACAAAGCATTGGCAGAAAGGGGAATGAATTTCTTTTTTAAATGACGGCTTTCCTTGCCTTATATTAACATTATCATTTTCATAAATTTTAATATGTTTATGAGTGTGTTTTCCAGTGAATCAATTGACGTGAGATTAAACAGATGAGGATTTCAAGGTTTTCTTTAAGAAGTAAATTTTACAAATGTTTTTGGAAAGAAAAATCATGTCTACATGTTACAGCAAGACTGCTCTAGGCTGTAATGAGCTGTTTTGGCGTGGAGGCAGAGCATTCACTTGGGCCTCCATTTCAAACCCACTGGTAAATTTGTTCCTGAGAAGGACTGTGTTCACTAAGATAGCAGATAGGATATCCTCACAACGGAAACATTTATTAAAATACTCTTGATTCTCTCCACACATATGCTTCCATTTGGCAGAGTGATGCCCAGGACAGGTACCTTTTGCCCCTGGGCTGCTGAAATGCAAAATTTGTCTCCTCATCTGACATGTTAGCATGCACCAAAAGCATCCAGATAGAGGTCCTAAGCCTTAGTCAGGAGATAACTAACCCTGCGTTGGGAGGTAATAAGTAGCAGGTTTCCAGAGCAGCACCCGACCCAGCTGCACCTGACTGTGCAAGTGTTTCTGTGAAACTGCAGGACAAGGTCAAACACATGAATTTACTAAATCTTCCATGGTTTCAAACCTTCTTGGAAAGTTTACACTACTATACTTAGTTTTGCCCTGTAGTGCAGTATAGATTCTCAGTCAATTACCAGCTCTCACTTGGATGCTATGGCTAACAACTATAAGGACTTGCACCTAAAGGACTTGTAAGAAGCAACTTCCTAAATTGCTTTCCAGTTCAAAACTTCACTCTGAAAACCCCTGTTTTCTCAATTCATAGTATGAATAGTGCAGTAAGTCTCAGGGGCTTATGTGTTGTCTTCAGCAACTGCTTTGAGTCACGCACTGAGGTATCCCATTATACAATATTCAGTATCTGCATATTCTGATTACTGAAGTTTACTCATCAGCTCACAGCCGTACTGCCATGACCAGGCAGAAACACCCTGTATCACAAACAAGAAAGCTCATATTGGCACAATGAAAGTGTCTTGTCCATTTTCACTATTGCTTAATCATACCCTACCATAAGAATTGCATTCTTTTGTGGTTTCGGAAATCAGCAGCTATAGCTAGCTGGCAGGCAGGACAAAAGAGAATGAGAAGTGTCTTGGAGATGGACACTGTTCTCCAGAGGCTTCACAGAGAATGTCAAGTATTTATGATCATATTTTCTGATACCTTTTGCTGAGGATCTGGTTTCTGTTGTTTTTACTGGGAGCATTTCAATTTTTAGGTGAATTAGCTTCTGTAAATTGTTGGTACAACTTTCAGTTTCCTATAAACTGTTCTGCTGTAGCCTCAGTCCCAAACTTATTTCACCATCACTCATATATATGAAATGAAAATCCCTTTGTATAAGAAATAGGTATACCTAAGTTCTCTTCCAAATTCATGAAGATGTTTCATGTATGCCTCTTTACCTCTGATGCAATATGTATTTAAATGCATCTTTTACTCTTTATTTGTACGTTTGTTATTATCTCAAGAACAATCACAGATGATGTTTGAGGTATGCTACTGAAACATCTATTCAGTATCACAATATTTGGGGTGGGGTCATGACATTGATGACTTGAGAGGGCTCTTAGATACATATTCTTTCCTATTAGAGATTGCAAACACTGCTCACTACAACTGGGCAATAAAAGAACCCTTCAGTGCTTCTGTTATCCTGTCTTTTCCACAGAAAGATTATCACCAGATCACTCTCCAGTTGCCTTAACAAAAATTGCGCATGATACAGTGTGGCTTTCTAGTGTAGGTAGTAATACAAATATTTCAACCACAGTTTTTTGCGAGATTTGGAAGAATCAATAATGCAACTCTTAGCTATGGGTAAACAATCTTTTCTCTGTTGCTAATCTTGTCCTCTCTTTTTCTCAGCTTGGGTGTGATTTTGTTTTTGCTGACTTCACAGCCTGAAGGCTGAAAGTACTGCAATGTCCCTTATATAGAATAACAGCCGTTCTGTTCTAATACTTGCAAAGAACAAAAAAAAAAATTGTTTTCCCAGGATTAGGAAATAACCTTTGTAATACCTGTATTTTCACTCTAAGCAAATTTGAAACTCTTGATGTGTGACTAGTTTTAGAGTACGTAGAAAGTTCTGCTTGGGGTTTTCTTTGTTGCTGTTGTTGTTGTTGTTTTCCATTTCCATGATGCTTTCAGTGGTATGTTATTGCAAAGTTGAATCTCTCTGTTTGAAATCAGGAAGTTTTGCATATTATTAGTACACTACATAAGCATCTAATTTCCATGTTAGGCTTCAGCGGCTTTGTATTGCCAAAACATGCAAAATGAAGCCTGTGGTGTTACTGGCATGATTTCTGTAGTTCCCTTGATGTAACATGCAATCTTGCTCTCACATATACTTGTTAAGACTAGTCACACTAAAAGGTGTGAAGAATTCCTTACTTGCTCCCCGTCATCGTACAGCCTAATTTTTAGAGCTGCCAAGTCCTTGCAGCTCCCATAAATTTTGGGTAGAGTTTTGGTTGTTCAGACCTCAAGCATCAAACAAAAATACTCCTGATGATTCCATTTGTTTAAATATGAAAAGTATTAATGATGAAACCTAGTGGCCTGCCCTTCTTTTTCTGTCTGCATGAAGCTGATCAACAGGAAATTGATTTCTTTTATTCCTTTTTTCTTTAGAAAAATGAAGAACATCTTAATATTTGAGCTCTGTATTCACTATTCAGTACAATTTATAAGCCAGGTGGTTTAGAATATCTCAGTTTTTACTTCTGATTTACTCCTCTGTGTTTAGAACACTCTTTCCATATATTTTCTGCAGCTTTTTGTCTGTGACATAAATATAGCTTGCTTGTGATGCAGGAGGGCTGTTGGTTAACCTACTAAATAGGTTTTATGTTTTTATTTTGAATGTCCACTGCTTCTGCGAAATGAGGTCCCAGGTAACAAAGAACAGTCTGCCGCATTACCTAATCCTAGCTATTGAACATGCACAGAAAGCCACCACTATGGCTATGAGGAGGCAATACACTAGGTGCGTGTATTGAGGGTGCGTGGTTTTCACATATCCCATTATTTAGAATGCCTTTTTGCCCCATCTCTTTCCATGAATCATTCTTTTATTTGTTTTCTGTTTCCTTTTCAGGTGTGGATGTGTGGAGGTGGCATGTTTGATGTTCCATGTTCTAGAGTTGGGCATATCTACAGGAAGTATGTCCCTTATAAAGTTCCCTCTGGAACCAGCCTAGCACGAGTGAGTAATTGGGCCTTCCTAGTTTGCATTTTCATTCATCCTCAGTCCGTTCATTCCCTGTGAACTAGTTTCTGCATCTAACAGTAAAACATTAATAAGTAAAATGAATGTTTCCGTGTTTTTCAGAAACAAGATGTGCAATTGCTGCAGTTACGCTGCCTTCCAGAGATAACATTTCTAAGAATAAAATGACAGCTTAAAAATACAGGGTTAGAGATTTCAGCACAGAAGTGTACTGATTCAGAAGAACATACGAATAACCTTAGGCTTATGGTTCTTGAACTGCAGTGTTGTCAGTCATAGTTTTTACAAGCAAGACCAATCTGAATGCTCATTTTCTGATCAGTCAGCAAAATAGGCAGAATCTTGCAAAAATAATGTTTTTTGAGACAAAAGAACTAAGTAACAGTGCTCTGAGTGACTGTCTAATTACTATATAAGACCTGGTTATGAAATACAGCCAACTTGGTACTGTGACTGAGAAACTGTAGG